TACTGTTTTTTTAATAACAGCTCATAGATCAGAACTGGTCTGTTTTAAACCTTCCTATCCATATCGAATACAATGACGTTGAGGTAAGAGGGGCCCTTTCTTCTTCTTCTTCTTCTTTTTTTTTTTTTTTTTTGAGACAAGGTCTTGCTCTGTTGCCCAGTCTGGAGTGCAGTGGTGCCATCTTAGCTCACTGCAACCTCCATCTCCCGGTTCAAGCAATTCTCATGCCTCAGCCTCCTGAGTAGCTGGGATTACAGGTGTGTGCCACCATGCCCAGCTAATTTTTGTATTTTTAGTGGAGACAGGGTTTTACCATCTTGGCCAGGCTGGTCTCGAACTCCTGACTTCAAGTGATCCACCCACCTCAGCCTCCCAAAGTGCTGGGATTACAGGCGTGAGCCACTGCACCCAGCCGAGAGACCCTTTCTCTAAATGAAAATACAATACTTATCCTATGTACTTCTGGAGGGCCCAGAGATGTGGAAGTCATGTATTCGTAAGAATCATATTAAACAATCTTTGTTTGAAATGTAGTACCTTACAATCCTAATGCTGTCTAACTTTAATAAGAGCAATTTCAGCATCAACTAGTGAACAGTAGCTAAACTAACAGAGATCAGCCAGAAGTGCTTTAACAGGAGCAGCACTGGCTGAAATTCTGCTGAGTCTGTGGGTATTCAGGACCCAGGGAAAACAGAATCAGACCGGCAGGGGTGAGAGCTGAGAGCCAAATGGTCATGTTAGAAAGGCAGCACCCCGGCCTCCAGCGATGAGCAGAGTGACTCAGCCTCTATCTCCTGTCCCTCAGGAGTACAGTGAGCTCCTCCCCAGGACCCACTTCTCGGCTTCCCCTCACCAGACTCCCACCAGATCTCTGCTGGACCATGGTGGTGGCCTTTCTGGCCCTGGCAGGGACTGGGAGCAGGGAGGGGAGGGGCAACTGATGGGCATGAGGTGGGCAGGCAGCCTGTGGTCTCTGGGTGCAGCCTGGTCTGGCCAAGAGGCCTCCTCAGGGCCCACCCCTGCCCTGCTATAGGCCTCTATATAATTTTATTTTTTTCCCGGAGATGGAAGTTTCATCGTGTCACCCAGACTGGAGTGCAGTGGCACAATCTTGGCTCACTGCAACCTCCGCCTCCTGGTCCTAGGTTCCACCGATTTTCCTGCCTCTGCCTCCCGAGTACCTGGGATTACAGGTGCCTGCCACCATGCCTGGCTTTTTTTTTTTTTTTTTTTGAGATGGAGTCTCGCTCTGTCGCCCAGGCTGGGGTGCAGTGGCGCCATCTCGGCTCACTGCAAGCTCCGCCTCCTGGGTTCACGCCATTCTCCTGCCTCGGCCTCCCAAGTAGCTGGAACTACAGGTGCCTGCCACCACGCCCAGCTAATTTTTTTGTATTTTAAGTAGAGACGGGGTTTCACTGTGTTAGCCAGGATGGTCTCGATCTCCTGACCTGGTGATCCGCCTGTCTCGGCCTCCCAAAGTGCGGGGATTACAGACATGAACCAAGGTGCCCAGCCTAATTTTCGCATTTTTAGTAAAGTTGGGGTTTCACCACGTTGGCCAGGCTGGTCTTGAACACCTGACATCAGGTGATCTGCCCACCTCGGCCTCCCAAAGTGTTGGAATTGCACATGTGAGCCACTGCGCCCAGCCCTCCGTATAATTTGTATGTGTCATGAAATACTGTTGTTTTGGTTCTTTTCTTTATTTTTTGGAGATAGGGTCTTACTCTGTCACTGAGGCTCCCTGCAGCCTTAAACTCCTGGGCTCATGCAGTCCTCCCTACTTGGCCTCCCAAGAAGCTGGGACTAGAGATGTGCACCATGCCTAGCTTATTCATTTTTTATTCTTTATTTTGTAGAGACGGTGGTGGAGCGGCGGGGGAATCTCACTGTGTTGCCCAGGCTGGACTCAAACTCCTGGGCTCACAGTATCATGCCTCAGCTTCCGAGGTGCTGGGATTATAGGTGTGAGCTTCTGCACCTAGCTGACTTTTTTTGAAGCATTAAAAAAAAAAAAGTAAAAACCATTCTTGAAGGTTATACAAAAACAGGAAGCAGGCTGTAGTTGGCTGACCCGTTCTAGGCCTGCAAGTCAGACAGGTTATAAGATCAAATCCTCTCTTAACAACTCACAGTGTGACTTAGGCAAATGAGAGTGCTGCTGCCTCTCTGGGTCTGTTTGCTCAGCTGCACAATGGAGACATTATTGACCTGGATGAGAATTATTAAAAATAGTACATCTCGCTGCTTTAAGAAGCAGGCCTTCCTTTTGCAATCAGGATTTAGCCTGAAGTGAGCGGTCCATAAGGACAGAGGCAGCTTTTTCTCAACTCTGTGAGAGCCATATCATGTCCCCAAGGCGACTCTTTCCCAGGCTCAAAACACAGGTATCTGTGTAAAGTAACAAAGTCGAAAGGCCAAGTAAGGACATAACCCCTCAGGAGGCTTTTTGGCATTGGAAAACCCTGCCCTCAAAGGGCTCAAGGAAGCCAGTTTCGAGTCAGAAGTGATAGTTCATGAAGTCCCAGTAGGGGAAAACTGCAGGGCCCAAAAGCTGACACCCGCAGGGCAGCCCAGGGGGCAGGCTGCCTTTGTTGAGACTGGGTCCAAGGGCTAATGGAGGCTGTTGTGCTGACCACTGGCCCCAGTTAAAAGAATGGTAACCACGCCTGGTAAGTGACTGTTTTCCTGGTTGGGGGTGGACAGGGTGTTCCCTGGCATGTCCCCACTCTGATCCACAGGTGGCTACGATTGTAACCTGGGCCGGAAGGGACCTAGATTGTCTTTGTAACTGCTGTAGCTTTTTTTTTTTTTTTTTTTTTTTTGGGCCAAGGGGAATTGTTAGCCAGGAAAAGTTCTCCTGGGAATTCTATCAGTCCTTGTTGCAGAACACACATAGCTGCCCGCTCCCAAAAGGCATGGAGATACGTTCAAAACAGTACAGACGGTGTGATCCTATCTTCCTTGTAAAGTGTGGCTGTTTATATGAAAGGAAAAAATCCCAGGACAAGTCAAAACTACAGTGGTTACCTCTTGGTAGTGGGGAAATTAGGACTTCTTTCTTTTCCAAGAACAAACATGTTATGATGTTACTTAGAAAAATCTAGAGTGAGGGCTGGGAGCCGTGGCTCATGCCTGTAGTCCCAGCACTTTGGGAGGCGGAGGCAGGTGGATTGCCTGAGGTCAGGAGTTCGAGACCAGCCTGGCCAGCATGGTGAAACCCCGTCTCTACTAAAAATGGAAAAATTAGCCAGGCATGGTGGCGGGTGCCTGTAATTCCAGCCACTCAGGAGGCTGAGGCAGGAAAATCGCTTGAACCTGGGGGGCGGGGGTTGCAGTGAGCTGAGATTGCGACATTGCACTCCAGATTGGGCAACAAGAGACTTCGTCTCAAAAACAGAAAAAAAAAAAGAAAAAGAAAAAAAGGAAAATCTAGAGTGAGTCAGCAGACGGGAGTGGAGGAGGGGAACAGTGTCTATTGCTCCTCCAGAATGGAGCATAAGGGAATTCAGGTCACCTAAGAACAACTGGGGCCACCTAGCCGAGTGGCTGGCCGCCTCTAGACCTTTGGGGCTTGACTTCGCCTCAGAATTCTGGATTTGGGAAAGTTCGCCTTTTATGTTGTTCATATATTCTATAATTATTTCCCTTATTTTCTTTTTTTCTTTTTTTTTTTTTGAGATGGAGTCTGGCTCTGTCACCCAGGCTGGCATGCAATGGCATGATCTTGGCTGACTGCAACCTCTGCCTCCTAGTTTCAAGCGATTCTCCTGCCTCAGCCTCCCAAGTAGCTGGGATTATAGGCATGCACCACCATGCCTGGCTAATTTTTGTATTTTTAATAGAGACAGGGTTTCACCATGTTGGCCAGGCTGGTCTTGAACTCCTCACCTCCGGTGATCCACCCACCTCAGCCTCCCAAAGTGCTGGAATTATAGGAGTGAGCCACCGTGCCAGGCCTGGTATTTATTTATTTATTTTTAAAACTTTCCATTACTAGATACTGGACTAAGGGGACTCAAGAGAAAAGATGGTTGTGTCTCCCTCCTTGGGCTGGAATTTGAAAAATACAATTGCCTGGCTCTGAGGGCTAGGTTTGGTGGCAGTAGCAGGAACCAAACAGAGAGAACTCCAAAGCAAGGGGAATAAATCTGAGGGAGAAAAGTTGGGGTCATTTGTGTAATTAAACTTTCCTTCCTTGAAGACCTTCCATTTAGAGGGCTGTTTTATTAAGAGATTTAATAAATAAAATAACATGTATTAAGTGTCTTCATGTCACTACACATGGTGATCGATGTCCACTTGGAATCACCAGGCCTCTCCACCAAAACCAGGGAGGACTTCAGGGAAGCTCCCCCATCCCAGCCCAGGAGTCTCACAGGCACCGCCTGCCTCTGTCCTACAATGTGACTCATCTCTAAGAGCAAAAGCATTGCCTCCATTCCAAGAGGTCTGGGACCTTGGAGTGTGGACCACGTGCACTGCTTGCGGGGCAGGCACACCTCTCACCTCCTTGGGAAGGGCCTGGGGTTTGGTGAGATGAGCTCCAGGAGACTCCTGTGCATCCCTAATACCCTCTGTTCACACATGGACCAACTAAGTCAACTGAACAAGGACCTGGTTCCCAGATGGGGCAGTTGAGCCCAGCCTGAATTCAACTCATGCCCGCAAAGTGAAGACATTATTCTGTGGGAACCTGTGTGTGTGGTGGGGGTGGGAACTGAGGAAAGACCCTGTCCATATGCTCAGCCAAGGGTACTGGCTGCAAAGGCAAAGGGGGCAACACGTTCCAACTCAGTTTCTCTGGCCAGTGCCATGGTACTTCAGGCCAAGGTGAAGGGTGCATCCGAAGGGACCAGACATGTCCGTCCTCTCTGAGAAAAAGGACCTTGGGACTCCTGGGCACCAGGTAAGATGGCAGCAGCAGAAATCCCAGTGAGAGACCCTCATGGGATGAGAAACATCCCCCGACCCCCACCAAGAGAGGTTTTCCAGGAAGACAGAATAAATTTTTATTGCACCCATACCAAACTACAGACACAAATCTTTAAAAGGTAGTACCATTTCATTTAGTGTTGTAGGAAATGTTGGGTTACTTCTTAAAAATGAAACCAAAGAAATTCAAAAGTCTCAAAGAAAGAAAGCAGGAAATAATAATTCTATAATCCAAAAACATTGGGCGATCCTTCAGTTGGAGGAAGGGGGCGTCAGTTAAGTAGCTCACACAGTAGATATGGAGACACCACAGAGTTAAGTTTGGTGGATACTAGGAATTAAGTTCTCTACCTAAGGCAATTAATTTTTCAGTCGTGAGAGATAATTATTAGTTCTAGAAAAAGAAAAAAGTTGACTGGGAGAAGGGACCCAGGAAGGAAGAATGGCGTGTCATTTAACATTAAATTGCCTCTCCAGTATATGGCTGAGCATCATGGACCTCCCTCCCTCTCTGCCCTCTCTGCCCTGTTGAGCTCCCACTGTTAGCAAAACTGAGAAGTACACGCCTGTGTCTTCTTCATACAGGCATGTGCACACACACCTGTATCTCCTTCATACAGGCCTGTGCAGAGCCGTCACCAATCGGGGCCCACAGCTGTTCAGTATGGCAAAGAGCAGGCTTGCTCCTTCATCCACTCTGCTGCCTTGATGAGGTGAACACACTGGAATAAGATGGAGGGCGGGATACCTGCCAAAGCCTGAGGAATGAGATGATCTGAAACAATCGGGCAAATGCTGGACATTTCACAAAGCTGACCTCTAACCAGTTTACGGGTGTAGAATTTGATGCTTCCTTCAAGTCCTGACTGCTCTTTCTGAGGCAGCCAGGCTAGGCCAAGAAATGAACTGCTCCAGCTTCTCCAGAGCACAGCTGCCTCCCAGGGCCTGTCAGCATCTGCAGCAGTTGGAAGGAGGTCCCACCTCTTCTGAGATACAGTCCATTTGTAGGATTCTCCAGTGCTCCAATTCACTAATGTCTGCTAATGGCTCAGAACAGGCTAAAGCTTCTACCAGATAACCCCTCCCCCAAAACTGAGTCCTCAGGGACAGTTGTTGACTGAATGATCTCCAGGTTATCTACTTTGAGAGGTGCAGAAATGCTATAAATTGAATTTTTTCTCAGCAGCAGCAGAAGCCAGGCACCCTTGAGTCAATTGTCCTTCATTGTCCAGAGCTTCCAAGTGGCATTTCAGAGCACAGGAATTCACTCCTCCACCCAGATGTCCCTCTCATATGGAATGAGTCACACACCCCAGGTCCTAGCAGCAGACATCTCCAAACCAACATCCTTATGAACACCGCAGGTCTCTACTCCAGCTCTCCAGTGGAAGAAGAACCACGCAGAGCACAACTGCCCCCAGTGCATTTGGGCTATCACAGTAAAAATACATTTATATCAAGTAAAAAACATAATGCGGGACAAATATATACATGTACACTTCTTTTTTTTCTTTTTTTTTTTGAGACAGAATCTCACCTGTTGCCCAGGCTGGAGCGCAATGGTGTGATCTCGGCTCACTGCAACCTCCGCCTCCCTCGCTCAAGCGATTTTTGTGCCTCAGCCTCCCAAGTAGCTGAGATTACAGGTGGCTGCCACCACACTCAACTAATTTCTATATTTTTAGTAGAGATAGGGTTTTGCCATGTTGACCAGGCTGGTCTCGAACTCCTGACCTCAAGTGATTCACCTGCCTTGGTCTCCTGGGATTACAGGCATGAGCCACTGCATCCAGCCATACATGTACATTTTCAGAGTTCAAGTGAATATACAGTTTTCTTTATAAGTATGTAAATAAATTTCATAACACTATAAAAATACAAGTCATCTGAGAAGTTTACAGTGTTACAGTGATCCCAGTACTGTAGGAGAGAAATAAAATAGCTGTAGATAATTAAAAGCTAATTAGATAAATCAAGTTACAGTATCATCCTTCAGATTAAAGTGCTCTGATACAACCAATGCCACAGCAAACAAAATCCTGGAAAGGGATTGCACTGCCAATGATTTTGCCTTTTAACCTCAATGTAACAAGGACATACATAAAAGTGATTCCCGATTTAATAACTGGTAGCATCTCCACCCCTGCCCACGCTATTGGCCTGTGACATTCTTCCCCTAGGAGAGATGTCAAGGTTAGATGAGATTCTATTATAGCCAGGAGAAAAAATGAGCAATACCGGAAACATACTAATTCCAGTCTTAAGTAACAACAAAATTACCTGAAAAATCTGAACTGGTGCTTTTAGCTAAGAAGGAAGCAAGTGTCCTAGTTAAAAAAAAAAAAAGTCTATAAATCTAGTTTTAAAAATACAAATTCAAAAATAAGTATCATCTTCTTGCTCTGCACAATTTTATAACAAGGGGGTAAAATACTGGTGAGTCTATTCATGAGAGAAAATGGAAAAACACGCAACCATTTGAAGGCTGAGGCATTTCTGTTTTCTACTGACTTTTCACTTTTATTAACTACATTAAACCCTTCACTACAATTTCCCCAGTATCCCAGAAATAATTTGGGTTTCCTTTTGGGCAGGCAGAGAAAGTGTTCAAAGGACAAACATGCAGATGCAGTTCAATCCCTTTGTGGTCCAATCCGTGGTCTCCTGTCCCCTGCACAGTGAAGGAGCTTTCTTCTTTCTATTTTTTTTTTTAAGATGGAATCTTAAAAAAATTGCCCAGGCTCTTTAAGAGTCTTAAAATACCTCTTGCCCAGGCTGGAGTGCAGTGGCATGATCTTGGCTCACTGCAGCCTCCATCTCCCAAGTTCAAGTGACTCTTCTGCCTCAGCCTCCCAAGTAGCCGGGATTACAGGCACGCACCACCACACCAAGCTAATTTTTGTATTTTTAGTAGAAACGGGGTTTCGCCATGTTGGTTAGGTTGGTCTCGAACTCCTCACCTCAAGTGATCCACCCTCCTCGGCCTTGCAAGGTGCTGGGATTACAGGCATGAGCCACTGCGCCTGGCCTGAAGGGGCTTCCTCATCTTGGGGAGTTGGTGGACCCTGTCTCTGCCCCTCACAAGGAGTGTTGCTGAGGAAACCAGGGCACCGAGCAAAGGCACAGGGGGAAAAAGCCAAGCAATCCTATTGACATCATTCCACACCTGCCAGAACTGTATTAGCGAGTGCGTGGACCACCCAAGCAAAGCGCTGAACAGGCTGGTCTAGCCAGCAGGAACCTGGCTGTCATAAGAACAGGGGCTTTAACCAAGTTCCTCAAATTAAATAAAGAGTAATTCTTTTAATTCCTGAATTCTACTTTTCCAGTCTCCAATAAAAGGGCCCTGGATCTAAGCAGAACATATTTTAAGGCTAGAGAGTAGTAGAAGTTGATGTTCAGAAAAGGCCGCTTGTTCGAAATCCGAAAGGCACACTCAGAGGCTTACTCTAAACACCCCTGCTCCCATCAAAAAACAAGACCCAAGTTTGAGAAGCTGGGTAGGTTTACATGGTATCAAAATTTAACATCTGCAGCCAAAAGCCACACCTGAGCTACTCAAAAGCCAAGAAAGTATGTGTATGTAACACAGCACCAATGGCATGGTCCTTTTTTCATTTAAAGCTTTCTCAGGTAAGCTTTAAGAGCTGGAGGATACATATTGAAAAAAATCTCAGTATGAAAGAAAGAAAACCCCAGTGTTAAAATACATGAATACCTCCTGTGCCATCTGAATCTCTGGCTCAGGATCAGATCTTATGACCACGTCTCTGGTGGGCATAAACTATTTACAACCTAGTTAAAGGCACAGTGGCATTTAAAAATAAAGCCCTGGGAATGTATAGTAAAAGATTCATTGTAATCATTAACCTGGCTTCCATTGGTAGAATTCACTCTTGCCAGATAACATGTGAGGGGGACGGTGATTCGGAGCCTGCTGGCTGGTTGTCAGGCAGGGCGAGTCCTTGACCCCTAGAGCAGGTGAAGGTGAAGTCACAAAAACGTCTCGGTGTTTTTTTTCCTGCTGATTTACATCTTTCCTGCTTTTTTGCCAACCTGAGCCGGGATGCGGAGGATATTGGGGGTTTCTTCCATGACTCTGACAAGCAGGTTGTCAATGTAGTCTTCCAGCTCGCGGACCTGGAACTCCTTCTTGCTTATCGTTTCCTTCTGTTTGAGGACCAGCTGGATGAGCTCTTCGTGGGTCAGCTGTGCGTATGCAAACGCAGGGTCCGAGGGGCTGTATTTCTTTGGAGACGGGGAGAAAGTTGGGAAAAAGGAGTTATAAAATCAGCACAGAAATCTAAAACCTAAAAGAAGTACAAAGGAGGAAAAAGTGACTAGTGATCTGGGTTTCTTGGGAATCCATTTTCTTTCCTTTTTTTTTTTTTGAGACTGAGTCTCACCCTGTCACCCACCCTAGAGTGCAATGGCATGATTTCGGCTCACTGCAACCTCTGCTTCCTGGGTTCAAGTGATTCTCCCACCTCAGCCTCCTGAGTAGCTAGGACTATAGACACGTGCCACCATGCCTGGCTAAATTTTGTGGGTTTTTTTTTTTAGCAGGCACAAGATTTCACTATGTTGGCCAGGCTGGTCTTGAACTCCTGACCCCAGGTGATCTGCCCGCCTCAGCCTCCCAAAGTGCTGGGATTACAAGGATGAGCTACCGTGCCCAGCCAGGGAATCCATTTTCAGTTTATGGTGAAAACAGGCTGTTGACTGATGAAGTTTTCTGGAAAGGGCCAGATAGCACATATTTGAGTCTTTGCAGGCCACAGATGGCCTTTGTTAATATATTCTTCCTTGTGTTTTTTTTTTTATTTGTTTGTTTTGTTTTATTTGTTGTATGACCCTTCAAAAATGTAAAAACCATACTTGGCTCACAGGTCGAGGACCTCTGGACTTGACTCTGGGTTTGGATTTTAAGCAATGCCATCATGGGAGGACTCAGTTCTCCAAATGAGCGCTCACTCCTCTGGGAACACTAGGAGCTCACACGACCAAACACCAGTGCAGAGCTGGAGACGACTCCCAAGCCAGAGGGGGCCCAGGAAGACATAGCTGTGACAGCAGGTGCAGGGGGCAAGGGCTCTCCTTCCAGGGCAGCAGGTCGAGGTCCAGCCCAACTGTCTGCTCCTGCCAAAGCTGTGCTCAGAAGGACTCGGTGAGCAGGTGGATGCAGAGGACACCCAGGGACTCCAGTTCACATCGCTTCATACTTGAGAAATATGCGGAGTCAGAGCCAGGTGCCATCATGCCCCGTCCTCACCCGTGGCCATCTAGGCACGCCCTTGGGTACACAGCGGCCTGTCCCAGAGCTGAGTGTTCTGCTCCTGAGGAGAGCACACACCCTGTGGAGTCACTGTGCTTTATCAGCATTTGTGATCTGGGGCCCCTGCCAGCCCAAGCAGCCTGAACCAGGAGGACACGCAAGATAAAGCTTCAATGAAAAGTCACACGCTGTGCAAGTCCCCAGTAAGGAAAAAAAAAAGTGACTTTTCCTGAAATCTGTAGCCTGAGATTTCCATGTTTAAAGAATCAAGATGATTTTGCTGGCAGAGTTCTGAGGCAGGAATAGCTTTATTGTCCTGAGGGTCTAACGGTCTCACTGTCTACCAGGAAGGCCAAGAGACTACCTTCTCCAAGAAGAATCAACACTCGCTCCTCAGTGACATGATAGAAGCCCCAGTTCAGTCCAGTGACGCAAACTGCCTGGACACGAGCCAGAAGTCAAAGGAGGGATCCCAGCCCTCCCATCCTGGCCAGGAACAAACGCACGATGATGGCGGTACTAACTTAGACACACAACACCAATGTTTCCATAGACAGAGTGAGTTCAACCCCATACAGGCTGCACATTCAGAGGCGAGACACTGGACTGCTTTTCCAAAACCTGCTTCTCCCCTAATCTTTGTTTTTTAAAACTTTGAAGGCATGCATTCATAGCACACCTTCTCTGGACCTCAGTCACCGTAGATGTGACTTCCAAAACAATATTTCATTGAAAAGTTGCATGTCTGGAAAAAAGCCCTAGAGATTGGTTGTACAACAATGTGAATGTACTTAATGCCTTTTTTCCCCCCCCCATAGAGACGGGGTCTCGCTATGTTGCCTAGGCTGGTCTCAAACCCAAGCTCAAGTGATCCTCCCACCATGGCCTCCCAAAGTGCTGTGATTACAGGCATGAGCCTCCACACCCAGCCTTACATTTTATATCAAGAAAAAAGAGTCACCTTTGTAAATCATGGCAAAGAGTATGTCCTCAAGGGATTTTAGATTATACTTCTGTCATATAAGGATCTTATTTATTTATTTATTTATTTAAAGTCGGAATACATAAGATATTCTGCATGGAATTTGAAAGAGAGAGGGATACAGAGGCTGACACCTGTAGGGTGTCCTATAATTAATTCCAACACCTAACATTTGGGTCTCTTTATTTTTCCTGGGATTCTTTTTCTTTCTTTTTTTGAGACCGTCTCACTGTGACGCCCAGGCTGGAGTGCAGTGACACGATCTCGGCTCACTGCAACCTCTGCCTCCCAGGTTCAAGTGATTCTCCTGCCTCAGCCTCCCGAGTAGCTGGGATTACAGGCACCTGCCACCACATCCAGCTAATTTTTGTATTTTTAGTAGAGATAGGGTTCTACCATGTTGACCAGGCTGGTCTTGAACTCCTGACCTCAAGTGATCCTCCCGCCTCAGTCACCCAAAGTGCTGGGATTACAGGCATGAACCACTGAGCCTGGCCTTCCTGGGGTTCTTGATGATATGTTTTATAATGTCAGCCTCATACAAAGTAATAGTTTTACAGCTTTGTACTATTTAGTAAGCATTTTTTCCATCATAACATTTTAGCAAAACTTGCTTTTCTAGTGGATGCTTAAAATCCCATTATATTTTAACTATTCCTCTATTGCTGGATATTTATGTTGTTTTCAATTTGTACAATTATATATAACATTTTAATCAAAATGCATGAACATAAATCTTTGGCCATATCTCTAAGTACTTCCTTAAGATAAATGCCTAGAATTGAAAATGTGTACACACTGTTTTTTTTTTTTTTTTGAGACGGAGTCTTGCTCTGTCGCCCGGGCTGGACTGCAGTGGCCGGATCTCAGCTCACTGCAAGCTCCGCCTCCCGGGTTTACGCCATTCTCCTGCCTCAGCCTCCCGAGTAGCTGGGACTACAGGCGCCCGCCACCTCGCCCGGCTAGTTTTTTGTATTTTTAGTAGAGACGGGGTTTCACCAGGTTAGCCAGGATGGTCTCGATCTCCTGACCTCGTGATCCGCCCGTCTCGGCCTCCCAAAGTGCTGGGATTACAGGCTTGAGCCACCGCGCCCGGCCTGTACACACTTAAGGTATTTCATACGAACCATCAAACAGCTATTTAATTTGGATTATGTAATTCAAAGGGAAAAAGGATATAAAGGACTTTAAAATCATTAGAAGAGCCTAGTTTTGCGATATTAAAAAATTATAAAACAGGGCCAGGCATGGTGGCTCACATCTGTAATCCTAGCACTTTGGGAGGCTGAAGCAGGTGGATCATGAGGTCAGGAGTTCGAGACCAACCTGGCCAACATGGTGAAACCTCGTCTCTACTAAAAATACAAAAAATTAGCCGGGCATGGTGGTGGGCACCTGTAGTCCCAGCTACTCGGGAGGCTTAGGCAGAAGAATCGCTTGAACCCGGGAGGTGGAGGTTGCAGTGAGCCAAGATCGTGCCACTGCACTTATAGTATGGGCAACAGTGCAAGAGATCCTGCCTCAAAAAAAAAAAAAAAAAAAAAAAAAAAAAAAATCATAAAATAATCCAGCATCATAAAAAGTGAGTAATGGCCTTGAAGAAAAAGCACAGGAAAATACCCATAAATGCAAGGAAGAATGGGTACCCACTGTCATGTATTTCTCACCAGGATTCTTAGCCTGGACTTTTCCAAAAAAAAAAAAAAAAAAAAAAAAAAAATCATAAAATAATCCAGCATCATAAAAAGTGAGTAATGGCCTTGAAGAAAAAGCACAGAGAAAATACCCATAAATGCAAGGAAGAATGGTGCCCACTGTCATGTATTTCTCACCAGGATTCTTAGCCTGGACTTTTCCTTTTACGTAGTTGTGATAATGACATACATTCAAATGTGCATCCAACTTTTTCCATATCACAGATGATTTTTGGATCTAGTTGGCTTTATTTTAAAACGGAAATGTTAAAGCCACCTGGGTAAATAAGACACTCCCAGTTATAAATCATCTATAAAGGATGGAGGCCCTAAAACAACCACCAAGAAAAGAAAAAAAAAAAATCACTGTAGTAATGATCCAGCTAGCTTTTCATAACTTTAGCTATGCAATTTCTTTCCCTTAAACCTCTCTTACTTTGCAACATTCCAAAGAGTAGGTATCTTTATAAATACTGTCTTATCCCTTAACACAAAACATCTATCATGCGGCAGGCCAATAGCAGAGTCTCCAGGAAATGTCCCGTATTTACCCAGAATGTTTACTAGGCATGGTCCAGAACCAAGAGATGTGTTGCAGGCAGGCAGCAGGGCGGCAGTCAGGCTTACAAATCATGAGCAAAATAAGCAGCAGTTGCCTTTGTTTTGAGCTAAGTTATTCTCTTAGGGCCAGGAGATAAGCCATTGAATTAAATGAGCTTTGAAGAGGAAATAAAATGGTAGCCAAAGGTCTTGCTAACTTCCCAGAAACAAGGTGTTTGTTTCTCTTTGGAGCCACACTGCATTCCACAGTAAAAGGAAGATGGATGGGAAGCTGCTGAATGACTCTAATTTTCATTGCTGTCCTTTTATCCCATTTCCTGATAAATATCATTAACTCCAGGAAGACAAGTGCTGCCTCTTCTATCTGCAACAACCACACAGAAGCCAGGCAAGCTGGTTCACATATTGTACATTTTTAGGCTAGGGCCGAAATGTAGTAGGTACACAGTTCTGGCTGTGGCTGATAATTTTGAGACCAATGCTTACCACCTGCCCTGTCAATGTGTTCTACAAAGAAAGAGTGGGGGCCAGGCACAGTGGCTCACACCTGTAATCCCAACACTTTGGGAGGCCAAGGCGGGTGGATCACCTGAGGTCAGGAGTTCGAGACCAGCCTGACCGACATGGTAAAACCCCGTCTCTACTAAAAATACAAAAAAATTAACTGGGTGTGGTGGTGCATGCCTGTAATCCCAGCTACTTGGGAGGCTGAGGTTTAAGAATTGCTTGAACCTGGGAGGTGGAGGTTGCAGTGAGCTGAGATCGCACCATTGCACTCCAGCCTGGTCAACCAGAGGGAAAATCCATCAAGAAAAAAAAAAGGAAGGAAGGAAGGAAGGAAGGAAGGGAGGGAAGGAGGGAGGGAAGGAGGAAGGGAGGGAGGGAGGGAGGGAAGAAAAGGAAGAAAGGAAGGAAAAAAAAAAGGGGGGGCAAGAAAGAACATGCTAACTTGTTTTCAGCAATCATCAGTTATGATTACTTGGCTTCTTTTACCAAAAATTTGGACCTCCAGCTTCCTGTGAACCTTTATCCCAGCTCTTACTGGTAGATGTGCAGTGAAGCCAGAGGGAATAACAAGTACCCAGCACTCGAAAAACACTTTCAGCCAAGCATGGTGGCGCATCTGTAGTCCTGGCTACTTGGGAGGCTGAGGTAGGAGGATCACTTGAGCCCAGGAGTTCGGGGCTGCGATAAGCTATGATTGCACGTGTGAATAGCCATTACCCGCCAGCCTAGGAAACAGAGCAAGACCCCATCTCCATTAAAAAATAAAACAAAGCTAGGCATGATGGCTCATCCCTATAATCCCAGCACTTTTGGAGGCCAAGGCTGGTGGATCACTTGAGGTCAGGAGTTCGAGACCAGCCTGGCTAACATGGCAAAACCCCATCTCTACTAAAAATACAAGAATTAGCTAGGCATGGTGGCAGGTGCTTATAATCCCAGCTACTCGGGAGGCTGAGACAGGAGAATTGCTTGAACCCGGGAGGTGGAGGTTGCGGTGAGCCAAGATGGCGCCATTGCACTCCATCTTAGGTGACAAGAGCAAAAAACTGTCTCAAAAAAAAAAAAAAAAAAAAAAAAAAAAAAGAAAACTATTCAATATCCAGAGTCCCTGGGACTGTAAAATCTAGAATGAAATTTTAGCTGCTCTGAACTAAAATAAAAATAAAGTGTATTTCTATAGACTGCAGTTCCTAGTGTCAGTTGGGAAGTCCCTCTCTACATATTTGAAATACAACATATCCTGCCCACTAAAGGTCACCAATCCCTCAGTAAATCATTCTCTTCTAGTCCAGATAATGAGTTGAAGACCAGGGATTTGCAGCAAGGCAGTATTCTAAATCCTTGATTCTAGAACCAGAAAGGGCAGGATGAAGACACTCCCAGGCAGAGTTCATCTGGGAGGCTGGTTTTGTTTTGTGGGGAGTTGTTTTTTAATATGAGCCCACACTTTTCAAAGAGTAGAGACCCTCCAAATGAGCAAGATACTTCCTGGAAATTTAGCTTAAGGAAATCATCTAAAAGAGGAGAAAAAGTTCCATATAGAAAATTATTGACTATAGTGTTAATTCATACTGAAAAACAGAAAACAGGCTGGGCATTGTGCCTCACACCTGTATCCCAGCACTTTGGGGGCCCAAAGCAGGTAGGTGGATCACTTGAGCCCAGGAGTTCAAGACCAGCCTGAGCAACATGGTGAAACCCCATCTCTACAAAAAATACATAAATTAGGCCAGGCGCGGTGGCTCACGCTTATAATCCCAGCACTTTGGGAGGCCGAGGCGGGCAGATCACGAGGTCAGGAGATCGAGACCATCCTGGCTAACAGGTGAAACCCCGTCTCTACTAAAAAAATACAAAAAATTAGCTGGGTGTGGTAGCAGGCGCCTGTAGTCCCAGCTACTTGGGAGGCTGAAGCAGGAGAATGGCGTTAACCCGGGAGGCGGAGCTTGCAGTGAGCAGAGACAACGGGCCACTGCATTCCAGCCTGAGCGACAAAGCGAGACTCCGTCTCAAAAAAAAAAAAACAAAAAAAAAAAACATAAATCAGCCAGGCGTGGTAGCGCTTGCCTGTAGTCCCAGCTACTTGGAAGGCTGAGGTAGGAGGTTTAATAGGGCCCAGGTGGTCGAGGCTATGAGCCGTGATCATGCCACTCCATTCCAGCTTTGGCAACAGAGTGAGATCCTGTATCAAAAAAAAATTTCCTGATTTTGATGAATCTCCTTACTGTTAGAAATATTTAGGGGTAAAAGGAGCATGAGGTAGGCTGGGCACAGGGGCTCATTCCTGTAATCGCAGCACTTTGGAGGGCCAACGCAGGCGGATCACCTGAGGCCAGGAGTTCAAGATCAGTGTGGCCAACATAGCAAAACCCTGTCTCTACTAAAAATACAAAAATTAGCTGGGCATGGTGGCACATATCTATAGTCCCAGCTACTCAGGAGGCTGAGGCAGGAGAATTGCTCAAACCCAGGATGGGGAGGTTGCAGTGAGCCAAGATTACACCACTGCACTCCAGCCTGGGTGACAGAATGAGATTCCATCTCAAAAAAAAAAAAAAAAAAGTTCCCTGATGTCCTTATTGTTAGGAATTACACAGTTAAGTATTTAGGGTTAAAAGGAACATGAGGTACACAACTTACTTCCAAATGATTAAAAAAAAAAATTATGCATACATCTGCATGTGTATATTCAGAAAGAGAGAAGGTCAGGCAGAGGAAGCAGAGAGGATGAGACTGATCGGCAAATGTGGTCAAATGTTAACCACTAACAAACTGGGAGGAGGGGTTTACAGGAGCTCTTTGTGCTGTTCTTGTAACTTTTTTTTAACATTTGAAATTATTCCAAATAAAGTTACCAGAAAAGTATATCTATGCAATGATTGCAATTATCAGAATTTTACATTCTTGCCAAAGGAAAGGAAACAAGAGGGAAAAAGAAAATACCTGACCTAAATGGGCCAGATTGTGGGTGACATTTTCTTCTCATTAAAAAGAAGTGCCAGGCTGGGTGTGGTGGCTCACGCCTGTAACCCCAGCACTTTGGGAGGCCAAGGTGGGAGGATCACTTGAGCCCAGGATTTCAAGACCAGCCTAGGCAACATAGCAAGACCCCATCTCTATTAAGAAGGAAAATGTTTAAATAATTTTTTTTTTTTTTTTTTTTTTGAGACGGAGTCTAGCTGTGTTGCCCAGGCTGGAGTGCAGTGGCCGGATCTCAGCTCACTGCAAGCTCCGCCTCCTGGGTTTATGCCATTCTCCTGCCTCAGCCTCCTGAGTAGCTGGGACTACAGGCGCCCACCACCCCGCCCGGCTAGTTTTTTGTATTTTTTAGTAGAGACGGGGTTTCACTGTGTTAGCCAGGATGGTCTCGCTCTCCTGACCTCGTGATCCGCCTGTCTCGGCCTCCCAAAGTGCTGGGATTACAGGCTTGAGCCACCGCGCCCGGCCAATAATTTTTTTAAAAAAGAAGGACCAGCGTCAATCATGTTGCTTGAGACAAAAAAAAATTTAACAATAGCTAAACAAGTAAACAAGTATAAGGGAATAAAGTAATTATCCAGTGGAATGTCTGGGGGCTTCCAAAGTTTACTTAAAGACTCCAGATGTATGACTAAGTGGTTCCTGGCACCACCAGCTGCCCAGGGTGATGTATACGATGGTGACTATGGAAACAGGTGCTCTGTCAATCCCTAACGAATGCACCAGCTTCCCAGAAGACATACCTTCATCATGGCCTCGTTGTTCAAGTTCTCACTGATGATGGTGGCAGTTCCCAAGCTGGAGTTAGCAACCTTGGTGGTCGTTGCATTCATTGGCTTCACAGGATGAAGTCTAAAGAGAAGGGGAAAAGGATCTTTAGACCCTCCTGACATGGCAAAACTGAGCAACTGCCCACCACAAAGATGGCAGCCAGTAAGCCAGACAAGGGGCAGGTGGGTCACATGCTGCCCTCATCTCCGGGCCAACACATTCCAATGTCTCAGTGCCTGTGGAAACAAAAGTAGTCAGGACTGGGCCGCCACATGCAAGCCAGCAAAGCACGTCTTTGCCCAGATGTCCTGATATCTTCATGGGACCCTTAGTCTTGTTACAAACATCAGAACATTAAAGGCAGTCTCTTATTTTTTGAAGTCAACTAGAGCCTAGGCGTTCACCGCAAAACTTTGCAGAGGCTTCTGTCCCTCCACAGTAAAGAGAGTTCAAAACAAACATACAAGCTTCACGTTGGGCAATGCTTGAAGAAGTTTTTGACACTGCTAGATGCTACCACCGCTCAATGCCAGTTAAGAGACTCAATGCCAGTCTCTTATTCTGAGACTGTTAAGATACTGGTGGCACTGCGTTTCTGCAATGTGAGCGCTCCAAATCTGACTGTGCAGAATAATTCCTAAGCTATATTTACAGACTGCTATTATGTTCTTGCTATAAACGCAGCAGCGTCTTGAGGTATTACCACCACAAGGGGCAGTCCTACCAGCAGGACAGTGACAGGCGAGTTGTCCTGTCAGACGTCTGTGTGGTTAGAAAGCCATAACCTCTGCAGGTAGGAAGCAAAGGGGGACATTGTTGACATTTACATAGACAATCTCCCCCATCTCTCACCTGTGCTTGGCTGACCCAGTTCCAGCGCCTGGCTGAGCTGAGACTGGATGTGTCTCCGAGGGTGAGACCCAGGCCTGGAGGAGTGGCTTCCTCTTGCCAAAATTTTCAACTCTACCAGCGGAGCCCTCTGCTGTGGCTTTTTTTTGAGATTCTGCTGTGCTGGTGTGGTGAGTGTCAGAATGTGCAGAGCTGGGGAAAGAGTGTGTGGCAGGAAAGAGCTCAGAAGGGGAGGGGCTGGGTACAGGATTGTCCAGGGACGTGCCAGGAGGCGGGCTTGGACTCCCATTTCCCACCGGTTTTTCTTCCTCACCACTACTGGGGCCTGGCAGCTGTTCATCAGAGCTTGAGCTCTTGCCAAGATGTGGTTTGTGAATTCCGAACTCTGTGGTCTGCTCTGAAGGAGCTGTCACAGATGCTTTGGGTGCTTGCAGGCTGAAATCACGCAGGCCCTCCCCCAGTGCCAACCTATCTGCCTTGCCACTGGGCCCCTTTCCCCTCTCAGGACAGGGGACTACCAAGCTCAAGGATGAAGCTCCTATGTCCAGAGTTGACGACTTTGCTGTCTCTCCATCATCTTCAACCTGATCTCTGTCATCTTCAACCTGATCTATTCTTTCATCATCCGATGCGACTTCAGGAATGGAAGGAAGGCTTAAGTTCAGATCGGCCGTGACTGGAGATTTAAAATCTGAGGCCAACTGAAGGTCACTCAAGGGGTCAGACAATAAACCTTCATGGTCACTGGCTTTGCTCTGATACTGAGTCACAAGGGCATCCTCTCCCTCCATCCTAAAGAGTGGAGTGTCTTTCGCTGAGCTTGCTTCACTTGTGGGGCCTTCGGAGAAACTCTCCTCCTGGGAGGGGAGGAGGAGGTGACCCGCCGGGGAGGCTGGCACACCGCACGTCGCTGGCCCAGGTGTGGTCACCGATTCCCTCTCTGAGTCCTCTGTGTGGGGAGACCCAGGAGGCTCTCCATCAGAGGCGTTTCCAGCAACAGCCCATGCAGGGGTCAGCTCCTGGGGACAACTGCTCTGTCCTTCCACCAGCGGGACGGCCCTCTCTACCACCTCTTCTGTGAAGAGCTGCTCAGAAAATGACACGCGCTTCTTGGTTTTCTTCTGGCCCTCACGGAGGTTCAGACCCCTCTCTTCCAGCTTCTGCATCGTGGAATCAATGGAAGGGACCCATTCTCCCACTGGAAGAGGGGGTGCTGCTTCTTCAACTGCATCCCTAGCTTTGCGCCCCACAAGAGACCCAGCCTGACTCTCCAAGTCTCTGTCTCCTCCTGCCACAAGCTCCCCAACGGGGCTCGCAGCTCCATCACTGCTGAGTGAAAGGGCAGACGGTACTTCCTGGGCCTCTCCAGATGATGGGCTGTAGTCTTGTTTTTTGTGGGGGAATCTCGGAAGTTCTTCCTCTTGTCGCCCCGTTTCAGGCTGCTCCGGGAGAGACTCCTCCAACTCAAGGCTGCTGGTGTTCTTCTCTGTGCCTGTCTCACGGGTCCTGCCCATCAGAGAATTTTCTGTCCCTTTATTCGCTGGAATGGATGGCTGTTTGAAAAGTGATCCCAGGGCAGAAGAACCAGAATTTGGAACTGGTGTTAAACTCTCCGTTTGCAACTCTGCCTTAGGGAGCAAGGGTGGTTCTTCAGACTTGGCCTGGCCCCTATCTATGAGAGGACAGCTTTCCATTGGAGTGGATGTGGAAATGGGAGCTGCTATGGGAGATGAGAGAGAGGAGAAGACAGGACTCTCAGAAGACTGTGTGTCTGTACCATGTCCCAATTCAGAGGGGACAGGTGCCTGGCCAGAACTAGAAGGGAGAGGAAGAGAGGAAGCGGAGTCAGCGGGGGAAGGAAGCCTGGCTGTGGGTTGCGCCTCCGGAGACACTTCCAGTCTGCAAAAAGGACAAAATAAAATCTGCAGGTCAGTGCAGATGCATCATGAGAAACAAAGAAAATACACAAAAATCAAGTCATTCACCAGGGGAGAACGTCTTTACACGTGGGGCAGTACCTTAAGAAGTTAAAAAAGGAACACTAGCCAGGCGCAGTGGCTCACGCCTGTAATCCCAGCACTGTGGGAGGCCAAGGCAGGCGGATCACCTGAAGTCAGGAGTTCGAGACCAGCCCAGCCAACATGGTGAAACCTCATCTCTACTGAAAAATACAAAAATTAGTCGGGTGTGGTGGTGTGCACCTGTAGTCCCAGCTACTCTCAGGAGACTGAGGCAGGAGAATTGCTTGAACCTGGGAGGTGGAGGTTGCAGTAAGCCGAGATCGCGCCACTGCACTGCAGCCTGGGTGACAGCGGAAGACCGTCTCAAAAAAAAAAAAAAGGAACACTAACACTTAACAGACACTTTTACAACCAAGCAGATCTGTCACACAAAAGTCTGTTGCAATAGAATGAAAAGATCCCAGTAAAGATCTGGTTTCTTGTGGTGATTAACACAAGGCCCGAGCATTTGATTATTACAGGACAAAATGCACCTAAAAGTTTCAAAGTGGTTAAAGATGTTAACACAAAGCAATAGGCACAGATAAGTTCAAGAGGAACAGTGTGTATGTGTGTACGTGTGCATGTCAAAGTAAGCAGAATCTCTCAAAAAACAAATCTCTCACTCCCCAGACCACAGAAATATTGTCAGTGTCAATGTGAGTCACACAGAAAAGCAGAAGTCCCCAAGACCAGTCCCCAAGTCTCACGCTGGCTCTCACAACAAGGGGCAAAGTGGACACAGAGAACTGTCACTGTCACTCGAGAGAGGACCGTCACTGTCACTCGTCACTGTCACTGTCACTCGAGAGACCAAGGGTCTCTCATACCAGAAACCAATGCCAAAATGCAACAAGGCAGGATAACATCTGGCTCAAGGGGAAATACGAGATAAGAACTTCGTAAACACAGGAACTGCGTATACTACAACCCAAACCCAGTATTCCCAACTTGCAACACCCAGAATCTGCTACAAACCATTGCATTCCACTGAGATCTGATAAGCTGACAGAAAGGACAGACCATGCCTGCAGGGCAGTAGCTCTGGGCTAGGAAACATCACTGCAATTTGTACAGGGCAGGCCAGGCTGGCAGTAGGGACTCGTTAAAAAAAGAATTTAGACCAGCAAACCTTTGGCATGTACGGGTACTATGACATCATGGAACCAGCAAGAGCTGGTCTAACGTAAGCCTGAAAACCACCAGTGGTGAGGTAGAAATGCCCTGCATGAGAAGAGCCAAAACTCACCGGGGCTTGACAGCTCTGGTCTGGGGAGCCCTCTGAGAGGAAATTGGAGGTTTCGGTTCAGACTTGGACTCCGGCTCAGCTTCTGGTTCTGTGATCTGCACATCTTCAAAGGGGTTCAGGGAGCTGCCCTGTCTGGAGACAACAGCTGCAGTATCTTTCTCGGATCTTCTCACAAGGTCTTCAGCAGGCCCCGACGCGTCCTCCCCGGGCGTAACCCCCATCAGCATGCCTTCCTTCTCCCTCCCCAGGACCGTGAGAGGGTTTTCACCTTCACTGCTCTTAGCCACGTCCTTCTTCCCCGTCATCAGAGACAGCAAAGAGGACCTCCTGCTCTCTGGTTTCTTGCTCTCCTTGGCTTCTTTTGCAGCCTCCGAGTTTGCGGGGGCCATGTTTTCCCTGAGGTCCCCACTGACCAGTGGGGCAGGTCGGTAGGACGGCAGGGTCATAGACTTCAAGGAGTCCTTGGTGGAAGATTCGGAGAACCGCCTGTCAGAAGACAGCCCACCTCCTTCAGCAGGCTCCTTCCAAGACCCAGCCGCCAGGTTCTCCGTAGAAGAAAACAAATGCTTCTTTCTGAAGCCCCTCGGGGATGGGGAGGAGGATGGGCTGCTGTCCTTGGTCTCACCCTTGCCTTCTGGCTGCTCCAGGTAAACATGGTTCCCATTGATGCAGACATTAGAGCGGGAAAGGACATCATTCTTAGACCGAAGGCCGCCAAGAAAGGAAAGTCCTTCCTTCTTGGGAAGGGTGAAGTTGACCTGGTTCAGTTGCTTAAGATCTGTACTCGCTGTTCTCTTGTGAGACGTGACTTTGGGAAGAAAAACAAAGAACAGAAAGGGGATAAGATGTTAAACGGGTGGTTTGCAGTGTGGGGGCATCTGTCAATGTCTAAATACATTTCCGGTTGTCACAACTTGGAGGGGGTGTGCTGCTATTGGTATCCAGCAGGTAGAGGACAAGGATGATACTGAATATCTTACAATGTATAGCACAGTCCCCCACGACAAAGGCCTATCTAGTCCAAACTGTCCACAGTGCTGAGGTTGAGAAACCCTGGATTAAACCAATGAAAAGGGCAGCAGTAGAAGGTAGAGTAGCAGAATCCAGCCAGTGGGAGGGATTTAGACATTGAAATTGAAGTTCAAAATACGTAATTAACTCAGAGCTAAAGGAACCAGATTCCTTGGCTTCTGATAAGGCTATATCCCACAAGGGTTAAGTACATCACAGGAACTCAATAACTACCTGATGAATTAATGAAATATCAGAATTACTATAAGGTTTCATGGTTTTACCCTTAAAAAAAAAAAAAAAAAAACTTTGAAGACACTCGTTCTATTAGCTCTAAAATCTTGTACTAACGGACATCATTTATAGAGCCAGAAACTCTGGAAAAGGAATTTATGCATTCTTAGAAACCAGAGGGTATAATCCCAGCACTTTGGGAGGCCAAGGCAGGCAGATCACTTGAGGTCAGGAGTTCAAAACCAGCCTGGCCAACATGGTGAAACCCCGACTAAAAACACAAAAATTCGCCGGGTGTGGAGGTGGGCACCTATAATCCAAGGTACTCGGGAGGCTGAGGCAGGAGAATCGCTTAAACCCAGGAGACAGAAGTTTCAGAGAGCCAAGATCGCGCCACTGCACTCCAGCCTGGGTGACAGAGCAAGACACCATCTCAAAGAAAGAAAGAAAGAAACCAGAAACCAGAGGGCTTAGAAATAGAGAGGGCATCTCAGCTATGGGCAGTGGTTCACACGGGTCATACCAGCCATTTGAGAGGCTGAGGAAGGAGGATTACTTGAAGCCAGGAGTTTTCAGACCAGCCTGGGCAACATAGTGAGACCTCATCTCTAAAAAAAAAAATTTTTTTTTTTTTTTTTTTTTTTTGAGACGGAGTCTGGCTCAGTCGCCCAGGCTGGAGTGCAGTGGCGCGATCTCGGCTCACTGCAAGCTCCGCCTCCCGGGTTCACGCCATTCTCCTGCCTCAGCCTCCTGGGTAGCCGGGACTACAGGCGCCCGCCACCTCGCCCGGCTAATTTTTTGCATTTTTAGTAGAGACGGGGTTTCACCGTGTTAGCCAGGATGGTCTCGATCTCCTGACCTCGTGATCCGCCCGTCTCAGCCTCCCAAAGTGTTGGGATTACAGGCGTGAGCCACCGCGCCCGGCAAAAAAAAATTTTTTTAATTAGCCAGGTGTGATGGTGCACACCTGTAGTCCCAGCTCCTCAGAAGGCCAAGGTGGGAGGATTGCTTGAGCCCAGGAGTTGGAGGCTGCGGTAAGCTATGAACGTGCCACTGCACTCCAGCCTGGCAATAGAGCAAGACCCTGTCTCTAAAACAAATAAACAAAAAATATTTTTTCTTTTTTTTTGAGACAGAGTCTCACTCTGTCGCCCAGGCTGGAGTGCAGTGACACAATCTCGGTTCACTGCAAGGTCCACCTCCTGGGTTCACGCCATTCTCCTGACTCAGCCTCCTGAGTTGTTGGGGCTACAGGCGCCCACCACCACGCCTGGCTAATTTTTTTTTTGTATTTTTAGTAGAGACGGGGTTTCACCGTGTTAGCCAGGATGGTCTCGATCTCCTGACCTCGTCATCCACCCGCCTCGGTCTCCCAAAGTGCTGGGATTACAGGCATGAGCCAACAAAAAATATTTTTAAAAAAGAAACAGATAGGGCTTTTTTTTTTTTGAGACAGAGTCTCACTCTGTTACCCAGGCTGGAGTGCAGTGGCACGATCACAGCTTACTGCAGCCTCTACTTCCTGAGCTCAAGCAATCCTCCCAGCCTAGCCTCCTGAGTAGCTGGGACTACAGGAGTGTGTCATCACATCTGGCTAATTTTTGTACTTTTTGTAGAGACAGGGTTTCACCATGTTGCCCAGGCTAGTCTCAAACTCCAGGGCTCAAGCGATCTGCCTGCCTCGGCCTCCCAAAGTGCTGGGATTACAGGCGTGAGCCACCATGCCTGGTTTGAGAGAGGGCATCTTAAACCACCACTATCATCACCACCATCACCATGATTTTGTAACTGAGGAATTGAATTAAACTCTTTCTCTTAAGATTTGTCTGTTTCTGGCCGGGCGCGGTGGCTCAAGCCTGTAATCCTAGCACTTTGGGAGGCCGAGACGGGCGGATCACGAGGTCAGGAGATCGAAACCATCCTTGCTAACCCGGTGAAACCCCGTCTCTACTAAAAAATACAAAAAAACTAGCCGGGCGAGGTGGCGGGCGCCTGTAGTCCCAGCTGCTCAGGAGGCTGAGGCAGGAGAATGGCGTGAACCCGGGAGGCGGAGCTTGCAGTGAGCTGAGATCCGGCCACTGCACTCCAGCCTGGGCGACAGAGCGAGACTCCGTCTCAAAAAAAAAAAAAAAAAGAAAAGATTTGTCTGTTTCTTCTCTCTCAGAATGAAGCATGGTAAGTGGAAGAAGAGATGTCAGGAAGTGGAAGCAGGAAGAGGCAGAAACTCACCATCCGAGGCTGAGGAGGACTCGTCCTCATTGTCGTCTTCATCCCACTGGGACTGAAAGTCTCCGGGACGAAGCAGCACTTTTTCTGGCTTTGAAGTCGGCAGGACAGACATGGACTGGGAAAGAGGTGTCTTCTGCAAATTCGACTTGGAAAATAAGGTCTTGATCTTCGATTTCTTTTTCTTGTCTTTGCCCACAGACTCATCATCACTGTCGACCGAAGGCGTCGTGCTAGGGATGATGGCTGAGGCGGTGTCTGACCCGCTGTCCTTATTCTTCCCCTTGATCTTGTCCTTCAGTTTTCCAAATGGATTCCGAGACTTGTCTTTCATAGAAAGGTCAAACATGCTGGCAGTCATGTTGTTTCTCATAAACTGAATGTCAACCTCAATTTCTCCTCGCTCCTTGTCCTTCTTTCCTGGTTTGGATTTCAACTTATACCACCTGAAAGGAGAAAGGCCGAGGAGTTACTTTTGAATGGAAGCAATTGCAACAATGTTCATAATTCCCATGAACTGGCCTCTCCTCTTTGCTACCAGCAGCCTCTTCAATGCATGCATTCTCACACTTTCTCTTTGGGAAAGCAGAATGAGAGCAGAATGGTTTTTTTTTGTTTGTTTGTTTTTTGACACAGAGTCTTGCTCTGTCACCCAGGCTGGAGTGCAATGGAGTGATCTCGGCTCACTGCAGCCTCTGCCTCCCGGGTTCAAGTGATTCTCCTGCCTCAGCCTCCTGAGCAGCTGAGATTACAGGAGCTCGTCACCACGTCCGGCTAATTTTTGTATTTTTAGTAGAGACGGGGTTTCACCATGTTAGCTAGGCTGGACTCGAACTCCTGACCTCAGGTGATCTGCCTGCCTCAGCCTCCCAAAATGTTGGGATTACAGGCATGAGCCACTGCGTCTGGCTGACAGCAGAATTTGCACTTTTTTTTTTTTTGAAACGGAGTCGCACTCTGTGGCCCAGGCTGGAGTGCAGTGGTGCGATCTCGGCTCACTGCAAGCTCCGCCTCCCAGGTTCATGCCATTCTCCTAGCTCAGCCTCCCCGGTAGTTGGGACTACAGGTGCCCGCCACCACACCCGGCTGATGGTTTTTTTTTTTTTTTTTTTTGTATTTTTTAGTAGAGACGGGGTTTCACCATGTTAGCCAGGATGGTCTCGATCTCCTGACCTCATGATCCGCCCTCCTCGGTCTCCCAGAGTGCTGAGATTACAGGCATGAGCCACCGCGCCCAGCCTGCACTTTTATTTCTTTTGTTTTTTATTTTGCACTTTTATTTTTGAGAAGACATGCACTAGACAAAGATAGGATCCAGTGTTGTGCTTAGTGTATAATCACCTCAGATCCTGATTCAATAAAGAGCTCATTATAAAAATAAAGAAAAAAAAATTTTCTATGGAATCACTTCCGATGACTGATGTTTTCCTTCAGTAGGGTAAAAATGCAATGATCAGGGCCGGCACGGTGGCTCACACCTGTAATCCCAGCACTTTGGGAGGCTGAGGCGGGTGGATCACAAGGTCGGGAGTTCAAGACCAACCTGGCCCATATGGTGAAACCCTGTCTGTACTAAAAATATAAAAATTTAGCCGGATGTGGTAGCAGGCGCCTGTAGTCCCAGCTAGTCGGGAGGCTGAGGCAAGAGAATCACCTGAACCTGGGAGGTGGAGGTTGCAGTGAGTCGAGATTGCACCACTGCACTCCAGCCTGGGCAACAGAGTGCGACTCCATCTCAAAAAGGATTAAAAAAAAAAGCAAAGATCATACACAAACAGCTAAGAAGGGTGGCGTGCAAATTATGTATAATTAAATCTCAGAGAAAATTGAGTTTGTAGTAAGGAATAATCCCTGGAGGGAGTAAAAAAATATATATATAAAACACAGAATTTTAAAAAATAATTTTAAAAAGGTGGGGAGGGGGTTGGGCATGGTGGCTCACACCTGTAATCCCAGAGCTTTGGGAGCCTGAGGCAGGAGGATCACTTGAGGCCAGGAATTCAAGACCAGCCTGGGCAATATTGCAAGACTGCATCTCTATAAAAAATTTTAAAAATTTGCTGGCATGGTGGTGTGCGCCTGTACTCCCAGCTACTCAACATAAGCCTAGGAATTCGAGGCTGCAGTGAGCTATCATTGCACCACTGTACTCTAGTCTGGATGACAAAGTGAGACTCTGTTTCTAAAAATAAATAAATAAAAATAAAGAATTTTTTTAAAGAGTGAAATTAGGCTAGGCATGGTGACTTACACCTGTGATACCAGCACTTTAGGAGGCCGAGGCAGGCAGATCACCTGAGGTCAGGAGCTCAAGACCAGCCTGGTCAATATGGTGAAACCCCGTCTCTACTAAAAATACAAAAATTAGCTGGGCATGGTGGCGAGCGCCTGTAATCCCAGCTATGCAGGAGGCTGAAGCAGGAGAATTACTTGACCCTGGGAGGCAGAGATTGCAGTGAGCCAAGATCATGCCACTACACTCCAGCACTCCAGTACTCCAGCCTGGGCGACAGAGCCAGACTCCATCTCAAAAAAAAAAAACAAAACAGAGTGAAATCAGTCAGTTAGAAAATGACAAACACTATATGAGTCCACTTATGTGAGGTTCCTGGGTTAGTCAAATTCATCGAGTCAGAAAGTAGAATGGTGATTGCCGGAGGAGGGGAAGGACAGAATGAGGAATTCATGTTTGATGGGTATAGAGCTTCAGTTGCGGAAAATGAAGAAGTTCTGGAGATGGATTGCGGTGATGGTCACACAACCATGTGAATTTTTTTTTTTTTTTTTTTTTTGAGACAAAGTCTCGCTCTGTCACCCAGACTGGAGTGCAGTGACCGGATCTCAGCTCACTGCAAGCTCTGCCTCCCGGGTTTACGCCATTCTCCTGTCTCAGCCTCCCGAGTAGCTGGGACTACAGGCGCCCGCCACCTCGCCTGGCTAGTTTTTTGTATTTTTTAGTAGAGATGGGGTTTCACCGTGTTCGCCAGGATGGTCTCGATCTCCTGACCTCGTGATCCGCCTGTCTCGGCCTCCCAAAGTGCTGGGACTACAGGCTTGAGCCACTGCGCCCAGCCATGAATGTTCTTAATGACATTGAACTGCACACTTAAAAATGGTTAAAATGGGGCCAGGCACAGTGGCTCATGCCCGTAATCCCAGCACTTTGGGAGGCCAAGGCTGGCAGATCACTTGAGGTCAGGAGTTTGTGACCAGCCTGACCAACATGGTGAAACCCCATCTCTACTACAAATACAAAAAATAGCTGGGGGTTGTGCCACATGCCAGTAATCTCAGCTACTCTAGAGGCTGAGGCAGGAGAATCGCTTGAACCCGGGAGGCGGAGGTTGCAGTGAGCCAAGATCACACCACTGTACTCCAGCCTGGGTGACACAGCAGGACTCTGTCTCAAAAAAAAAAAAAAAAAAAAAAAGGTTAAAATGGTAAATTTAATGTTATGTATATTTTACCAGAATAAAAAAAAAAATGGGAAGTTGGAAAGGAAGCCTTCTTCCCTAGCTTAATAATCAGAAAAAGGAACATTTCGAACATTATCCAAGTATTACACTTGGTCATTTGCAACCTACTTTAAGATGTGAAAAATGACATTATACCAGTGCAACTCCACTGAGAGACAAGGTTAAGAAAAAGGAAATCTCATGGCATTCATTTTCTACTTAGGAACCCTTTACCTTTGGTGAACTGTAAGAATGTGAGCCTGGTTGGGTACAGTGGCTCACACCTGTAATCTCAGTGCTTTGGGAGGCTGAGACAGGAGGATTGGTTGGATCCAGGAGTTTGAGAACAGTATAGGCAACAAGGCAAGATCCCACTTCTCTACAAAAAAAAAAAAAATTTTTTTTTTTTTTTTTTGAGAGAGTCTTGCTCTGTCTCCCCAGGCTGGAGTGCAATGGTGTGATCTTAGCTCACTGCAACCTCTGCCTCCTGGGTACAAGCAATTTTCTTGCCTCGGCCTCTCAAGTAGCTGGGACTACAGGCATATACCACAATGCCCAGCTATTCTTTGTATTTTTAGTAGAGATAGAGTTTCATCATGTTAGATAGGCTGGTCTCAAACTCCTGACCTCAAGTGATCCACCCACCTTGGCCTCCCAAAGTGCAGCTATTCTTTGTATTTTTAGTAGAGATAGAGTTTCATCATGTTAGATAGGTTGGTCTCAAACCTCCTGACCTCGTGATCCACCCACCTTGGCCTCCCAAAGTGTTGGGATACAAGCATGAGCCACCAAGCATGGCTAACTAAAAATATATTTTTTTTTAATTAGCTGGGTGCAATGAAGTAATTTAATAGTCCCAGCTACTAAAGATCACTGAATCCAGGAGTTCGGTGGCTGTAGTAAGAGCTATGATTGCACCACTGCACTCCAGCCTGTGCAACAGAGTGAGACCCTATCTCTATAAAAAAAAAAAAAAAAAAAAATATATATAGATAGTAGATATACAGGTGGTATATATATATATAAAAAGTATATATGCACATTAGTAGCAAGACCATACAATGGAACAAATAACTCCAAATACCTGGTCTATAGCGAGCTGTCTACCAGGTCACCCTCACAAACTGAGAACTTACATTCTGATGTTCTTTTCGGTGACCTATTTAAGAGCTGAGGGTAGTGGACTTAAAGGAAATGATGGTTTTGCCCAAATGAGCACAACTTCCTCTTTCACCTTCAGCCATGGCTGGCGGCTCATTCACAGGGCAGATCCCTGCCCCCACTGCTATGGCTCCTTCTACACTTAGAGGGAAGGCGCACGGGAAAGGGGAAAGTCGAAACCTAACCTAACACCTAAACAGCACCTGTGGCATACCTGACACTACATACGCACAGAGACATCCTCATTTCAGCCTCACAAGAACGACACAGAGTAGATATTATACCCATTTTATAGATGAAGAAATTGAAGCTCAGAGGTCTGAAAATTGGCACAAGGTCTTGCAACCATTATGGGGTTGCAAATGGGATTCCAAATCAGTTTCCCCAAAGCTCCTATTCTTTTCTCTACACTAAGATTCCTGCTTCAAATTCTCTAATTTATCTTGGACGGGTCATCTTTTGTAACTTAGAGAAAGGAGGGTTCAAATTTAAATTCTTTTTGAGAAACATTTAAGCTTCTAATTTAAATGTTCAAAGATAAAAGAAGAAAGGAAGGAAACTAACATACCTTGCCATCAGTCATAAATCTAACATAGCTTGCCATCAGTCATAAATCGTTAAGATTACTTAAAGGCCAGTATACAAAGTCATCAAGAAGAACTTAAAATGAATTCACAAAATACAGCAAAGAGAGGATAAAATTACATGAGCTATAATTTTGGACCTTTAGGAGACAAATCTTTTATGGTTTTTATAACCCCAATCCACAGCTGGGCAGGCGGGGAGTGGTGGGTGTTGCAAGATGCAAGGTCTTTTTTTATTTTTTATTT